CTTTACCGGGGTGGAACCCCCACTCATCTCGGGATCCCCATTTCTCCCGGGAATTTTTTGGACCCCCAGGGTTTTTATTCTTCGGTTGGGTTCCGTTTCCCTGGAATAACCCTCCGGAACGGGGAGGACCCCCCTTCCCCCATAATAGGGTGCCGGGTCGGCTTCCCCAATTTGGCCTTTTGGTGGAGGCTTTCCTTCCCAAACCTTAAAAATTAAATTAATTTTTAGGTAACCCCCCCCCGGTTTAGGCTCCATATTCCCTTTTTCCTGGACGGGTGGGGGCGTTTTTTCCCCCTCCAAGCCCTTTTGTTAGACTTTTCGGGAGGTTGCCCCAAGGCCTTTGGTTTTGGGGTTCCCGGTGGCAATTTGGTTCGGGTGTTTTTGGGTCGGTTTACCATTGGCGGGGGGTGGGGATTTTGGGGCTCCCAATGTTCCTTTTTTGGCTTTTTTGCACCTTTTCTGGGGTGGGTTTTTCCCCTTTGAACTTAAAAGCTCTGGCCCTTTTTTAAATTTTGTCTTCAATCCCTTCCAGGACGTCGTGCGGAAGAATAAAAGTTTAAAATTCCCCCCCCCCCCCCCCCCCCCCGCAAATCGGCTGCAGAAAGAGATAACATAGCCAGCAGCTGGGAGCAGTACTGAAGAAACTAGCAAGGTAGTGCATGTCGCTTCGTTACTTCTCAAGTGACTCGTTGTATCAAAGAGCACCCCCAAGATGGATTGCTTAATTACGAATGAACTCAGTCAGTATTGTAACTAACCAGATGCAAGTTTCATTTCAATGAAGGCCATGTATTGTGGAGTTCAGGTTCGAGGCTCTGCAGGTTGAAAGACGCTATAGCAAAGGGCAGCATAATGAAGTCAAGTTTTGTATCTGATGGGTATATTTTGTGCAAAAAGTAGACTATGGTCAAGTTTTCGGGTCACCCCAAAACACCTAACGTCCCAGCCATGAGTCGCCGAGGACATACAGGTTGACTTATCCTTAACTATGTGATACCTGATTCAATGTTGAATTTGCTGTCAAACATCTTGAAAATCTGGTGATTGTGGTGTCCTGGGTCGGGCACCACAAAGCCCCATGGCTGCAGCGGATGATTTAGGCACGACTCTGACGGCATTTCAGTCACCGTTGACTGGACGGACGATCCTTTGGAGTGCGGGGAGGGTCGAGAAGGAGCGGGCCGAAACTTGCAGATTCGACGATGACGCTCCATTTCGTGCTGCCGGGCGAATTTGATCTGGCAGAATGGGCAAAAGATGTGCCAATCCTCTCTCCGGTGATGAGCCAAGCTGTACTTCCGGTGGTACGACAACACCCCTGAGTGGATCGTCTCGAAGTGGCACACCTCTCCGTTCACCGTCAGCTGGTTACACATAAAAAACCGGGTGGTGTCGGAATGCTTTTGCTGGACGTGACGACGCAGCGTCTTGCTGGACTTAAAGGCCTTGTTGCACTCTGCAATTTTGCAGACCAGCATCTCTGATCGCTGCTAGTGATTTCAATCCAATCCAGTTCAAGTGGGTCAAGTTGGACTCTAATCCATACAATTTATGTAGAGTATATACAAAATTTGACGCAACGAGCAACATCATTGCAAGTGGGGCTCTATTGATAAGGATCGTGTACCTTATTGAGGCAATTGTATGTAGAAGCAGATGTGACCATTTCGGAATCTCCCCAAGTGTCGTCGAGGCCCACGAGGGCATGATCTCGCAGCAACTGCTCGAGCTCGTGTACTCTTTGCTCTGCCTGCGTTGCACGCATGGTGAGTTCCTTCAGTTTCAGGAGAACCAAGGCTCGACCGTTCTGCCACTCGTCCTGGAGCCAAGAAATTAGTATACTCTTGCACTTCATTATTTTGATTCTGATGCAGTTAGTAAGATGCAAGGTAAGATTTGGCTGCTCAAGGTCGAGGACTAAAAAAGCACACGGAGTTGCAATGTTGGAATTAGTACCTGACCATATTTCTGCTTTTGGTTGTCGTGGTCGATGAGCGGCATCGTTGTCCCCGGCTCGAAGTATCGGTTCGCCTGCTTGACGTTTGCATCTTCACAGCTCTCACCAGCCCACTTCCACTTATTCATCTCTTTCGAGTTCGTCAGTTCATTCTCCAACGTCGCACAGTACTTGCACCTCAGATCTTGCCTTCAAGTTAACATTCCGATCATTGAATTCGATAGACATTAGGAACATGCATACAACTCTTACACAGGAATACTTATCATTTTGACTGCAAAACCGCTCTTGGACATAATAGGCGGCACTTTCATCTTGGTAGTTTGAATATGCGGTGAAAGTTTTCACTCAAATTGCCTATATTTTTGAAGAACTGTCAACGAGTGCCTCATGCAATTTATGACAAGTACATTCCCAGATTCAACCAAATGTTTATGTCTTTTACCTGTCAGCATGCGTTGTATCGCAATAGAATGAGTTCTCCAAAATATGGTAGAATTGAGAAGCGTCACTTGCTATGCATTGATTGGTATGGTGGATATTCGCACTAGACCACGGACACGATTGACTGCGCACGACCAGTACTCCTCCCTCTGCAAAGATCTCAGCCGTATCTTTGCATCCGGCTTCTGCTTGAGTGCCAAATTTGTTGAGCATGAACTGCCATTTTTTGGCGACCTCCGATCGTAGTCCGGAGCACCATGGTAATGCTTGTGACGCAGCTTTCATCAAATAGCTATAGGAATCTTCAACTTGGGGTAGAACCAACTTCAGTCCATTCATTATCCCAAACTGCTGAAAGTCATTGTCTCTATCTCCTTCAGAAAAATAGTCACAACTACAGTCACATGAACCCTCCAACACCGAATGGTGTGAAGAATTATACTTTGCCGATTCTAATTCCAGTAAGCCAGCGACGTTAATCTACTCTACGTAGCATTGAACTAGTAACTTTTGTCCGCGCGGGGAGGCTACATGCACATCAATCAACCGGTCAGAGAGGGGCGGGGGGGGGGGGGGAGGGGGGGGTGTAGAGTGAGACGGAAAAAGAGAGAGAGAGAGAGAGAGAGAGAGAGAGGAAAAGATTAATGGAGGAATAGATACAGAAAATCCGATTGCTTGTGAAAATCTAGTGCTCGAACATGAGACGAAATTCAGGCCTTCAGGGCAAAGTCAGTGCGCTGCACCATCACGAAGAAGTGCGTGGCGATCATGTGATCGTGCAAGCGCCGTCGTGCAAGGACTGACGTCACCCTCGGTGAAACTATTAACTTCCGTGATGTTCGGCGTTTGGCAATGCTTGTCTTCGTCGATCTCCAGACTGACACCACCCTACAGCTTCGTGTCCACAAGCGACGACCTGGACTGACAACCGCATATTGAATAGAAAACTACTATCCAGAGAGTGCACAGTGGTGCAGGCATCTAGTCGTAGTCTGACAGTCTCGGATTGCGCTGGTGACTTGAAGGGATGGGACAATCCCCCGGAAGGTGTACTCAAGCAAGGCAAGGTTCGTCTTGCTCTGCCAGGCAGGCACTGCTCCGAGAACCCCATTGTGTAGTGCGGTACCTCGATCGGCGACGTTGCTGTGCAACGATTCCAGATCGATCACAATCTCACACCAGTCCACGCTCCGCACAGATCGAGCTCGGTGTACGCTTGGATGCGCGATCGGTCTGCCCACGGTTCAGTGAAAGTTGGGGCTCTTTCGACGTCGCCGCTGCATCTGTTTCTAGTCAGTAGTTTTATCTGGAGGGACCCAACGCCATGTCTGCTGTTGAATGTGCACCATCTCAACGCAAAATGTAGCCCCGCAGTTTGTCAATGTTACGGAAAAGAAACGATATTGCTCGATTTGCAAGTTCTACGTGTATTGTCAGAACATTACTTGAACTGACTTGGTGTGTGCCAGTCGTGGCATGGCGTGTATCATTCGTTCAATGAATGATGTGCGTCATTCGTTAAGAAGGAATGGTCATTCATGGATTGGCTTGTTATTTATTTAGGGTAGTGACATAAAACAAAATTATGATAAAATCATCCTTTATGCTACAATTGTGATAAATAAATGTTAACATAAAGGATGATTTTCTAAAATTAAATCTAATTTGATTTAAGATTCAATTTACATAGAATAACTCATAATTTTATTCTAAAAAGCAAAAAAGATATATATAATTTAAAAATTTTAAAAATGTGAATTTTCTTAAAAACTTTAAATGATTGTTATAAATACTTTATTTTGAATCTAAAATTTGCTATTTGTTTTGAATATTATATTCATTTTTTACTTCTACAAAAAGAGATCTTCTAGCTCCATATCATCTTGGATTCAAGGCAACTTTGTATAATAAAAATGTGGCCTATTTTCAAATGAGCCTTCTTTGAAAGTATTCTCCAAATCTATGGATAATAGTTTTTTAATATATTTATCCTACATATTATACAATGCTCATATATACCAAGATTAACTTGAGTCTTCCATGCATTTGTATCTTTCTTTTCTGTGCCAAAAGAACCATATTGACTTTGCTTTTTTTTGTACTTTGAATTGAAAATATACATTCTTCTAATCAAAGAAGAGAGCAAAAAAATAAAAATAAAAATAAAAATAGCACATTTAATTATTTGGATTTACTAAGACTCCAAGATTTATGAGTTGGATCTAAAATTTCTCTTTCCATTTCTATTGTATAAATTATCAAGTTTAAGCTTATACTCTATAAATATGTAATAGAATCAAATCGCAACTTGTTCATTGCTTCATGAAATAACTTGATGGCTTCTTCTCCTAGTTTTGTCGCTTAGACCTTAATGCCATACAAACAATCTCTACAAATTCTTCTACTATGTTTTGGCATGTTATGTCATTGGCAATTGCTTTCATTTGTAAGACTTTAGATAGAGCTAGATCATAATATATATATATATATATATATATATATATATATATAAGTTCCTAAATAAATTTGCATAACTTAATATAATCTTTGGCTTTAGATGGAAGAATTACCTTTTTTAGTTTGATTTTCCCATTTCTTAGATATTACCACCAAAAGAAGTTTTCAATAAATTCTAAGAAACATACTTATATGTCTAAATACTTTAATATATTTATAAGAATACTTTAATATATTTTGGTAAATTTTTATAGCAAAAAATTAAAATTAAAATAATAAAAAAAACATCTTTTGTACATAAACCATTAAAAAATCATGATTTTATTTCTGTGCTTTTCAAAGTTTCTCTGAAAAATATTAGCTACCTAGTATGTTTTCAATTACTTCTATTTACTTGTATTTATTTAACTGATTTTAGCATCTGTTACAAATAAATTTAATTATATGAATCCTACATTTTTAATCTTACTTGGTAAAAATATAATAGTTAATGCCATGTCTTTTAAACATATAATTTGAAAGAATAATGCCAAAATTAATTTTTCTAAGTATAATTTAATTTTATAAATTTATCTAATATGGTCAATCAAAAAAATTCTTTACTTACAATAGCAATAGATTACAAAAATTAAAACAAAATAAAAAAATAAAAAAATAAAAATTAAACATTCTTAATTATTATAACAATGATTCTATTGATATTTGTTTTAAAAAAGACTCTATATTTATATAGAAATAAATTTTAATCTTCTAAGTTTGATATGTCTTGATTGCTAATAGAGACTAAAGGTTAAATTACTTAAATTATTAAAATTAGATATTTAATATATAAATTTGTATATTTTGAGAAAATAAATTATGTTTCAACATTAGTTCTTATAATAGTTCTTTAAAATTAAATTTAACAAGTTTTAAAACTTTAAAGAAATATATGAAATTTAATAAAAAATAGAAAATACTTAATAAACTTGTTTCTACTATGGTTTTTGTTTTTGTGCCATTTTTTTTTTTTTTTTTTCCATTGTCAGTAGTCCATGTATTAGTTATTTATTTATTAAATAAATCATGGTTTAGCATACTAACATATTAAAAAAAATTATAGTGCCAAAAATAATTTGTATATGTCTTTTAAATATGATAATTCTTTTTCAAATATATTGTTAAAAAAATCCTTAAAAATAAAAGAACATCAAAAATACACAAGTATTATATTATATCTAAATCAAATCCATTCATTTAAAAATTATATAATATTTATTCAATTCAATTGCAATGACAAACTTTAGATGGATTATTTAATCATATTTTATATAAACCACAAAAATAAATAAATAAAGTATTACTAAATAACTAGATTAGTGTAATTTAATGTCATCAAATAAGATCTAATTAATTATAGATTTTCTATCAATTTCTCGTAGCACAAATTTTTTCCATAGTTATTTATGTTAATGAAAGAGAGTCTAAATAAATATGTACATCAAATCAACATTAAACATTTTAAAGTCTGATATTTTTGAGAAGTAGAATCCCTTCTAGTAATATTGTGTTAGTAGCTACAATTATTATTTTCTGCAAAAAAATTAGTCTTTATAAAATTAAAATTTAAAATTACTTATTATAATATAAAATTTTATTTTAATAAGATACTAACTTAGATCGAGTTTTGAAATTTTCATACAAAGTTTATTTTTAAAGTTATACCTATTTTTATACAATCATTTGTTTTAACTAGTAATGATATTGTATTTTGTTGAGCCACCTTGATAAAAAAATATTGTTTTCATAAATATTATAATTTAATTTTTGAAAGTATTATTATATATATATATATATATATATATATATATATATATATATATATATTTTGATATTATTTTATTTCTTCGATTTTCACATTTTCAATTTCTTTTGTTGTTTTTTTTATTGCAATCAAATCCCTTTCATAATATTAATATTAGTTTTATCACAATAACAATGTTACTTATTAGAATTGATATTAATTATTTATTTAAAATATGTGTTTTTTAATATTCTTTTTTAAAATTTATTGGGACCAAGCTTTACAAATATATTTATAAATAATTGATTTACATCCTTTAATTTATTTCATTACACTTCTTTGCATAAATTCAATCAAAATATAATTACATACTTTTTGTGCTTAATAAATGTTGAAGTAACTGATTTAAAAAAAAAAAAAAAAAAAAAAAAAAATCTACTACATTAATTTTTATTTTATTATCAAATTTATTCCGATTACTTTAGTCAAATTTCACCTTGTTTTAAATCTCTCTTATTCAACCTCAAGATCATTGCTTTATTTTTAATATATTATTAAGTTCTTATTCAATCTCAATTTCTTTTAATTGGTTGTAATGTTTTATAATTATCAGTACAATGCTTAAAAATATGCTAACTTGTATATTCTAAAATAATTCTTTTGTGTTAATCCATCTTTGCCATTATATATATATATATATATATATGGATTATTCTTAGTTGTTCTTAACTTCTAATATTATGCCAATTAAAAAGACATTTTTTCAACAAAATTATTTGAGTTAGGAATGTATAGAAGTAAAGAAGAAAAAGAACAAAATTATACTATTTCTAATCTAAAGTTTTGACCTCTTGTCATTGAACCTTTGATTAAGAGTTTGGTACTTTGGACATATTTTAGTCTGTAGTCCACCAATTTAGAACTTAACCAAATTCTATTGCAAGTTTAGTCTAGATTTAGTGCCTACTTCCAATTATTGTCAAATTGTGCTACCTTGTAACAAATGTCAATTTGCAACACTAGTTTTATGCTATTGCCTTTGTTAAAATAAATAAGTAAAGAATAGAATCTATATTATGAAGGATTTTACTCCAACCATAGTTGCAAGCCAAAATGCATACAATTCAACTTTGCTCAAAACATAAAATAAAAGAATTAGGTGAAACAATACAAAGACCATAGATTACACAAGTTGTATAAATTAGACTTTGATTCAATAAAATAATTATAATAAAAAATTAAAGAACAATATTGCTTCAATATTATCTTGTTGTACACTTTTACTTTTCTCATTTCATTATGGTAGCCAGCCATCTTTGTTTGAGTGGCTACTTATTATTTTTCCCTAGTCTAATCTAACTCTAATGTCCACTTTTTAGTTGGGTCGAATATTTCCAACTTGCCTTAAATTTCTATGTTTAACTATTTGGATTTTAATCTAATTAACTAAGGTATTTTATTCTCAAGTGAGTTAAGTATTTTCATTTTGCATTATTCTTATTTTTATTTTTTCCCTTCTTCTTCTAGGCCCTACATGTTTGGATCTATTGCTAAGTAAACCATTTCAATTAATGATTACTCTTCCTGTGTAATTACACTTTTATATTCTTCGTGTTGTGCAATGATGTTATACCATATTTTTTTTATTCAAAATGATATAATACCTTTAAGAAGAGGTCCCAAATTTAAATTTCTATGCTCCAATCAAAATGTTACTCTATATTTCACATTATAGATTCATTTGTGTAATATGATAAAGTCTATGGCAACAAAAAAGAAAAGAAATCATTATTTGTAAATTTGATATTCATCAGCAAAATGATATCTAGTAAAAACAAACCAAAAGGTGTTTCAACATCTATACATTTACATTCATACAGTTTTAGTTACAGCAGATGCATTAAAAATTCGCTTAATATCCATCATAAACACATGGTAGAAGGTGCAGAATTCCTTCTAGATGCGGACATAGGTGCTGCTCGGCTCAATAGAATTGTTAACTGAGAGGTAAGTACAACAAGGGGAAAAACGCCAGTTGAATTACAGACCCTATGACTATGGGAGTTGAGAAGAGGTGTGTAGGAACGATGACATGAGTCTAAATTATATTAATCGTTTCCCTGCCTGACGCGGCATCAACTGCTATTGCTTAGCTGGGTGGCAGCTTGACAATGGTGACAGGGCAGGGCACATTATTCGAAACGTAGTTGCTGACGCTCCCCAATATGGATCTGCAAAACCACATGCCAAGGATCAATTTCTGTTCATTTCTGTGCCAACAAGCTTTACTGATATTGAGTATATGACGTGAATTGTTCTTCACTTGCTACGAGAGATCACAAGAGAAAGAGACAACAACAACAACAACGACAACAACGGCATCGAGATTAGCCCAATAATCATACACTAATATATTAATTAGCACAATCGCAACTCAAGTGATCCAAACTGTAGGATTTGTGAGATGGCAATGGTACCTTCTGAGCCTGCTAAGGCCTCGGCATCCCATGATAAGAAAATCAAGTGGCGCATCTACCACAGAATTGCAGATCTTCTCCTTGGGGTCTCCCCAGTAAATCTTGAAGACCACTACAACCTGCACGATGCAACGGTAACGATCTGATAGGTGCTGATCAAGGATTTCTAGCAAGGAACTGATCGTTTATGGCATAATTGGGACCATCTCTGGTGATGCTGAATTACATATCAACACTGAACTAGGAGAGAGGGTGGTTCCAGGCAGCGATTGATCACCTTCTTCGCAGCGGCTTCGTGTAGAAGCTTCGAGATTTCCTCGTCAAGCTTCAGTTGGTAAGCCTGCTGATTGACCGGGTTCTCTGCAGCAGCCAACGGGACAAAAGCTACATACCAACCAAAGAACCTAGTCAGTGTCCAGAAACGAAAAATTATATGTATAGGAAAACGCAGATGAAATTATGTGAAGATGCGCGTAAAGATGTCATCTCGTGAGAAGAGAATTCTAATCGTAAGCGAAAAAGGTGGAACAATACTAAAATGATGAGCACAGACACACGAGGGCATCGAGCTGAAAGCTGTTTTTGTCTCACGTATCAGATGCTGATCAAATTAGTTCGAGAATTCTATTTCAAAAGCACACAGAGATCAAAGAAGTCCGAAACCTCGCGTGAGTTCTCCGCCTCAATTCTGTAATTTGGAGGAGGGACGGTAGAAGGCTTACGAGTTCCAGTAGCTTGCCAAAGAGCTGATCGACCACTTTCGAGCATCGGTTCCTTATTCACGACGATGACTATGAGGTGGTCGTTTTCGCGCAGGATGTTACTCACGGTCCACTGTAAAGCATACCTGCTGCTTGGTGAGAAATCCAAAGCCACTCCGATGTATCTCTCCCCGTTCATCTTCACAGGCTCTAAATCGGCCTCTCCAAAAAGCTTTACCTTCACAACAAGAAAAGAGGATACCTTGAAGCCAACTTGTTTACCACTCAGATTGACAAAGATTTTTGATAATCTTTGGAAATATCACGGCAGAATGAAAAGGACCCAGGAACTAGGGCGCATCCGAGATTACAATGGAAAGAAAAAAAAAACTCTGTCCCGTAATTCAGCTTAAATCAGCAAACTCTTCCATAGCAATTATTACTACAATCTACAGACACCCAACACAAAAATCTCAAACGACAGGACTACAGAAAAGTGAGAATGCGATCGCGACCCATCAAAGCAAACGAATCACTCACAGCAAATCTCAAATCCTCCTCGCTTCCGGCACCAAACGTCTCGGCAACAGACGCCAAGCACGCCTCTCGCTTGTGTGAGAAGTAAGCCAGCTAACCCAACAACCGTTCCAGACTGACAAAGAGAAGTGCGCTCTCGCGACACATGCACAAGCTGCATGAAACGACCAAAATATATTTTATTTTATTTTATTTTAGGTTTTAGTTTGTTTTCCTTTCCTTTTCTAGATTCCCTTGGAGCGGGTCTAGCCTTGGGAGGAGCAAATCGCAGAAGGCGGGGGGAGGAATCAAGGGGAATTCCAGCGACAGGCCTGGAGTCCTGCCTTCCTGCCGCAAATAAAGGAAAGGGCAGGGAACACCAGGCTGGAGGCTGTGACATAATTGCTGATATTATTACCAAGTTGAGTGGCTCCCAGAGGCTTGCTGATTCTCCACAGATTCTCGACGCGAAGAGCCGCGCCCATGCGCGGCGAAGCATTGACTGCGTCGTCGTCGTCAAGGACGTCGCCGCGGTGCGTCGTATCTTCTCGCAGCCAGCACAAGACCTTCTTCGAGGCTCATCTTGTGATCCAGTGTGGCCGTGGGGATCCGACCTCGAGTTGATTAATAAATGGCCTTGCTTTACGTGCCAAGTGTGACTGTTTGCTATATTTATATTAGCGTGCAATTCCTGCTGAGATTCGATGGCGGGGCTCTTGGGCATAGAGTGTCTTGGAAAGGCTTGGATCCTCCACCTGCTACTTTACCTGTCTTTCCTGTTTTTTGCGAATCTTAATCTTATCCCATTTTATCCACAAAAAGTTTGTTGGGTTTGATTTATTGGGGAATGTGTCCACTTGATGATTTGAAATTACTTAGATAAATGAATTAATAAATATTTTTTTACAATTCAAATCTGAATTACACAAATTAAAGAATTACATAGATAATTTTGAGTTTCATCATTCATAGTCCAATCTAATATCAAGTAGTTGAGGTCATTGTAGACTGAAAATCGAAATATTTTGTTCTAACATTCTTATTCAAAAAATTGTTGATTTTATTTTATTTTATTTAAATCATCTCGTTTAAAATTTATCTTCAAAAGTATTTTCTAGGTTTCTTTCGTTTCAAAATTTCACTAATAAATTCTTAGTTCTATGTGCTTAACACTCTTAAAACTAGATTAGAAGCTAGAAAGGAGATGACAACATTAAGGAGGGCCTCACTCTTGCATCTATATATACTATCTAATTAAGATTCAGATGTTATCATTCTATAGAACCTCTTACATGTGTTTAATTTACAAGACACATGTCTAACTTACGAGACAAGTTTTTTATATGTGCACCACATACCCAACTTGCATCACAAGTAAGCAACATGTGCAACAAGCTACCAACTTATTGGCCAAGTTTTAACATACGAATTATCTATAGTCATGTGTAAAGTCAAATTTTTGTTTATAAAGCTTCTAAAAAACTTGTCTACAAGATATTATAGAATTTATCTTCTTTTATTTATTTCTACTTAATTCTTCTTATCTATATAATTACTAATATTAATTATGTCTATGACTAAAAATCATGAATATTTTCTAAAATAAATATTATTTTATTTTATTATAAATTTATATTTATATATTATCTTAGATATGAAATATAAATAAAAATATATTTATATTATAATTAATTTTTGTACCATAAAAATATTTTGAATTAGACATTATTATTTTAAAGCCAATATCTACTTAAGTAAAGACATTGGTTATATCTATAATTAATATTAAATATTTTTTATAAATTTGTGTAAAATCTATAGAATTATTAAAATCAAGTTTTTTATTCTTATTTTTTATTTTTTTTTTATGAAAACTAAAGTGTATCAATCTGAATTAAAGATTTTCTAAAGCACCATTAAAAAAATTTACTATATCAACTTTAGAATTTTGTATACATATATTTTAACTTAAAAAAAATTAAAATCCAAATATTATATTAGAATAATTTATTTTTAGGACCAAAGTTTTATGTTAGAGAATAACTTGTTTCAGAGGAAGAAGATAATTTCTAAAGAACTTATATAGTCCAAGAGAAGTCTATTAGATTTCCATTTCAATAACACTTTTTAACCATTATTTATTTAAAAAAAAATTAGAGAATAATTTTATTAAAAGATCCTTAACATATACTAAAGCTATGTATATATATATATATATATATATATATATATGAATATATTAAATAAAAAATTTAGTTTCATTACATTCTTAGTAAGATAAATCTATGAAGAATTAATTGATAGATTGGATATTATTGAAGACAAATTTTAAAAGATAGTATTTATAAATAATTTAAAGAGATTTTTAATTTTAATTTTAATTTTTTAAAGTCTTTTTTAGCTTGACTCTTTTATTTAGTATTGTATAGGTTAAGATGAACAATCACAACTTAATAAAAAGTAGTTGTTAACCAGCTTGGTTAACTAAAGGTGGTTTAGAAGAATTGATCCAATAAGCAAATTTTGACAAGTAGGAACTAGACAATAAAAAATAGGTTGGAGATACTCAAACCATACAAAACCAAATGAATAGGGTTTAGATAGTGGAAGAAAAGTTAGAGATATCCAATTGACATAGAAACCTCAAATTTTGAAATTCAAGTTAGAACAAATTAGCTTGGGAGAATAAGTAGTTTCTAATAGAAAGACAGCTATCCACTAAGAATTAATTGAAGTAATATAAGTAACCACCAAGATTGATAGTTAGGGAGAAAATAGGAACAAATATCTTGTACAAGACATAGCTATTATTGTTGCGGTTATTGATTACAAAATTTGGTATCTCTAACTTAGGATTGGCAACTTGGTCTCGGCCATAGCGGCTTGCGCAAGAATGAAAATTGGAGCCTATTCACTCATGGCAGTGTTCTGAAGAGGGGAATGAAGACTACGTCAATAGGAACTGATTCACCGACATCACATTCAATCAGGAGCCAGCTGGTGGTATCAAATTAGGTTTTATTCGTTTGACAAAGTTTCTGACATTTGTTGTCTTGACGCAGGTCAGCAACCAGCTCTTAGTTAGAGTGAGAATGCCTACTTCAATGGCGGCATGTTTTGACATTCTCCCGTATCTTTTTCAGGAATAGCATTTCCTTCATGACTTCGGTAATTCCAAGAGGGAATTTGTTGGGTGTGGTATGATATGCCTCTACGGGACGGGCTTCGATGGCTTCATGATAGTGCGTTGCGTGGTTCGTCAAGTCCTGATAGTGGCAAGCGCTAGTGGAGAATTTCTTACTGGGAGAGAAGTGAACGATTGAGTGATGTGATTCTAACATGTGGCCATAAACTCTCGCGGATTGGCGCTCATCAGCTTTTTGAAAACCCTAATCGATATCGGTAGTACATACCAGAGTTTCAACTGTTATGTGTGAATTGGTTAGCTGAGGTGCAGTTTGATGACATGGTTTCGACGTTTTATCGTGTAATCGAGGAGTTCATAACTTATGGTGATTTCGACCGGGACAGTGTGAGTTTCTCTTCCTGGGCGATCAATTTGTTTGATCTGATAGAGACCTTTCCTTCTGATTCTATTGAGAAGTTGTGAGATAGGAACTGCAATTTATGATGATATTGATTTGCCCGACCTCTTTTCAGTTACTTTTGCAGGGCATTGATGGATTGAATATTTATGGCGATGCCTTCAAGGATGATAGTTTCAAGTGTAAGCTGTTGGTACAAGCTCCTGACGCTAGCCATGTTTGCATTTCATTTCTAACTTCTTCAAAGTGGTCAAGATTTATTCATGACTTAGATTACTAGATTGGTGTGCACTGTGAAACATAATGGTGAGGCAGTATTGAGTATGGTAAAACGTGGACTCAATGCCAGTGGAAACCAGTCTTCATCTGGACTATAAATGTATACGAAAGGTCTATCACTTCTGTAGCGCAGTTTGCTATTCCTGACTCTGTGTAGGAGGTTCTTAGAAAATGTGGGCATAGTGGCAGTCCAGATGCAATGAAGAACTTTGAAATTCGTAGTTACTTTTGAATGTTTTGTTTCAAGAGAGGAATTTCAAGTCGGAATCCTCGTTGTTTTGGATGTTTGATAATATGGAGCTACGCCGGACATAGTTGACAACAGCTTCAGATGATCTGGCCTGTGTACTTTTGCCACTGAGTATAACAGGTTGTGTTATCACATTTCATACTCTGATAAATCACCGTTTGGCGGCTTCTGCTAACGTCGTGGCTGAATGTCAAACATATTGTGATTGGACAATAATTGAAGATATGAACATGGTGAAGGCAATTTAGGGGCAAAATACTGATCGGAACGACAGATCCAGAAATGAATGTTATTTCTATTATTTTATTATATTATATTTTTTTATAGATATCGCGAAGTTTTAGAGATGCTGCAGGAACTTGCTTCCGCTGAACTTCATTGATAATGTAGCAGCTTTGGTAGATGTTCTTTAGGGTTAAAAATTGTATTTTTAGTAACAGCCACCTTTACGGTCTTAGAACTCCGTAGTTTGTGCACTGTCAAGGCATGTTGGCTTGCTCGACTCCTTTCTTTACACAGCCAATAATGCTTCAGGACAATGTTTAACATGAGACTTGCGCAAAGCTCGGAAGGCGTATGACTATGTTACGTGTTTAATTCACAGAATATCTCATTCTTGTGCCGAATTCCCTTGTGAGTATTCGTAGTCAGCATTGTTGTTTGTATAGTATTCACATGCGAACATGTACACAGAGGTCTGCCTTGAAGCAAAAATTCTGGAGACTCCGCCATTCTTGGCGATGCCTGCCGTCTCCTCCTTTCGAACTCAAAATAAAACCATGTGTTACAGGTACCAAACATGAGTCAATAAAGTTCTACAAGAACTTTTCTTTCAGCAGTATCTTGTTATTGATCTTCATTAGAAACGAGATAGTAGGAACATGAAGAGAAATGCCAGCAAATCTCAGATCTGTACCCAAGTTCACAGTTGAGCAGGTAAAACGTTTTGTATTACAGTTTGTAGATTTTCCCCAGAATCTACATCGTAGCTGCATCATAACAACACATTTATCTGGTGAGGTAGGTTCATCTTCTGAATTGAGGTTTATCTTCTCAGGTAGTTGCTGATGCCCAAAACAGAGTTTTTGAACAAGCTCTATAGCATCAAAGGTTGCATTCAAAACATCTTTTGCATTCAAAACATCATTTACTGTCCTGTTTGTGCAGTCATCAACTAATGGACGTCTACGTTAGTTGTAGCCTACTAACGTCTACAACTACGGACGTCTACGTTAGTTGTAGCCTAGCTGCACAAGCTGAAACAATTTGAATAGTTTGGTGAGTAGTGCCTGTCTTGGAAAATCTTCAGAGATGGTGTTCCAGGAAAAGACATCGGCGGTGTAGAGCAGAGCAGGCAGCCAATAATGAAGTATACGTCCGTATTCTTGGCGAAAGGTAGGCAGTCCTTTGCAAGGACTTGCTGAATGAAAGTGAAGGGACCTTCCCCTTCCACGATAATTGAAATGGAGAACAGCCCGACAGTACTCCAATCATAAAAGTGCTCGAGTAATCGCATCATTGCATTCAACAAAAATCCTTGTTGTACAACAATGCATGTGAAAGTTCATGCAGCACTGCTCAGTTGAAGAATGCTGACGATGAAACTGTAGTTTCTGCTCAGCGTATTGCGAACATTGATTTAGTTAATAGTCTGAAAAGCATGGAGTCAGTATAAGAGCCTTCCTCACAAGAAATTTCAGAAACTTCCATAAATAGTTGAAAGACCATCCACTTGAGATTGACTCCAAAGAGGAATGCCTCCAAAGAGGAATGGCCAAAAGACAACAGTATACTCGTCGGGTTGATTTTGATGGAACATGCATTGGACAATAGTTGCAGTGAATGATTAAATGATTCATTTCGCCGCGCTTGTTTGTTTGCTTGACATGCTCCTCCATGCCAGTGGCATATTAACGACTGAAAAGGCAATTCTGATGGCACTACTGTACCTGCCTGTTGATGGGGGCATCTCTCTTCACCTACCGCCAGCACATGTCCTCCAAACATTCCTTCGCACCGCTAAGCGTTCTTCGCTTTATGCACGCAACTAAACCTTGGTGTTAAGGGAAGTTACAGAGAATAGACATGTTTCCCTACTGGGAAAAATTCTTATCTGTATGTCTTCACCAGTAAATCTTGCACCGCAAAGAGGCAAGTACCACAAGAGGGATCACCCCTGCCAATCATATATTGCATGGAGTTTCGCACGAATATGACGCTGTTGAAAGAAAAGTTAGGTAGTCACAGGTATTACTTCCATCGATCAAGTCTTTATTGTTGATCATCAGCAGTATTTGAAATTCGCAGAGCAATTGGTAGGCTCGGCGGGATATATCATTCGAGCATTAAACTACAGTATGTTATAGAGGTCTGGGATTGATCACCGATAGAAGCTATTGTTGATGCTCAAAACAACTGGGTGCAGTTGAGAGTCCCTCGTTCCATTTACAGTGACTCCTATCCAGTCAGGCAGTCCACATTGACCACGTTGAGTTCCCTTATCACAAGAATATCAACTTCCGACCTCCTTCACGTTTCCATCCTGACCCATTATAAGGAGTCATGATCCAAGATTTCAGAGAGTGTAGGTCCTGCAACATCACTAGGTGAGCTCCAAGGGACTAATTTACTGCGCACCTGCACCCTCTGAGTCTGCAGCATTTAGGCCTTCCAAAGTAAGTGCAAAGTTGATGGTGCCTGTCCTGTGGCTCCTCGTCTGTAGCTCCATGTCGTTCAACTTGACGTCCACCTTGATAGGCTCCCAAGCACAGACACTTTGAAGAAGTAGATGAAGCCTTGCGTGATCGTCCGTCTTTGAAGAGTGGTCACTCTGTCAGCTTTCTCATCAAGGGTTGTAGCACTTCACTTCATTACCTTTAATCGCGGCTACGCGCTTGAACCAGAATGCTTCATTCAAATATTCAAAAGCATTGGTTAAAAAAGTCTATCACTCCAGTTCAACTCATGGTTCTGAAAGAATAGGGTCAGTCTCTCACTCTCCACTGAGGTTGATGGCAACAATTGTTTCTGTAAATCATACTGCAATCTGCATACATGACAGGAAAGGCACAGATTTATCCACGCTCTTTCAGGTCTGCAGCAACTGCATTAATGAAACAGTGATGCTATTAACGTGGAAATTTCTCTATTTTATGAAGCTGAGATAGCTTTACAGTGACCTTGGTCAATGAGTTAGGAAGACAAGGAGCTTAATTCCTGCAAAACAATTTCTATCACGTAGGCATTGGAGCTTTCCAGTGGGCATGGTGTTTGTGAGCTGGTGATTGGCAACATGGCTGACTCTTGTTGGGGAAGTCGGCTTCGTTCTTTGCTCCATCGTCAAGGCTTTCAGGTATATACTTAACAAGTATTTCCTCACTCTTCGTTGCTGAGTGGTGTCTCAGACAAGTGATCACGTTGTGTCTGAGATCTTGTAAACTTTTCTTACTTCGTGGGTGTTTGCAGGGTCCCATAACAAACGTGTGGCAAATTACACAAGCTCACACGCTTAGTTTATCATGGACATGTGTATGCTATATCGCTGAGAATCCGTCATACTTGGTTCTCGGAGTTTAGCATAACCAGTTGTTAGTGCAGTAGGAAATGTTCTCTGTGCTGCTTCACAGCTATTTTTGTGTCGGGTTCAATTTAAGAAACCCACCTTGTTGCACTGTGATATATATATATATATATATATATATATATATATATATCTCTCTCTCTCTCTCTCTCTCTCTATATATATATATATATATATATATGTGTGTGTGTGTGTACGCGCGTGTGTATCAAGGGAGGGAAGAAGAGACACACAGACGTTCCACATGGTTCCTCCTCATAACACTGCGGTGCAGTCTCAGGAATTAGTTTTTAAATACTTGTCCGTCAGAAAAAGTAAAGCTGACTCGGTTCAAAAAGCCCCTTCTGCAGGCTTTGTTCCCAACTCTTCCTTCAGATGCTTCCAAGCAATGTGAGCTGCAAGCTTATGTAATGCAAAAGACCTAATAGCATCCCTATTAATCTGAATAGTATGAACTGCTGACTCAGGTCGAAGAGCATATTTCATCAATCGATCCGGTTAGCGACTCTGGCTCTGGTAGCACAAATGAGATCACATGTGGAGGAAACGCAGAAAAAGCCAATCTTGCCACCCAAGTAGGTTCAAAAACTCGAAGGATTGGTGGTTGGATAAGTACACCTTTCATCTTTGGTCAGATACTTATCCCGTAACATAACGCAAACTTATTAATAACGCAATCTCGTGCTGCTGTGTTTTGAAATGTTATTCAAACAATTGTGATAAGTGACAATGACCATACTCTCTCTAATTCTTACCACAAGAAGAAACAACCATGTTTGACGGAGGACAAAAGCTGCTGACTAAAATTAGTGGCCCTTTCGGTACGAAACATTTGCAGGAAATGAGATGGGTGAGAGGCTGGCAGGGTTTGGGTTATCAATGAACCTGATCACATTCCTCACTTTAGAGATGCACATGCCGACAGTCAAAGCTGCAAACATCATCACCAATTTCGGAGGAACCTGTGGCCTGACCCCACTTGTGGGAGCATTCATTGCAGACGCCTATCTGGGGCGTTTCAAGACCATCGCCATAACCTCGATTATATACATGCTGGTAATGACTCGAAGAATTCCAAAGTGCTGATATTCTAGCATCCATTATGCTAGTACCAAGGCATGCGTATACTCTTTCGTCACAAGGAATAGAGTCATCTGCAATTGAACCATCGAACACCAATTGTGAAAATCACACTAATCTGCTTAGGCCTGTGTGCAGGGTGTTGTACTCTTGACGTTATCTGCAGCGTTTTCCTCTCTCCGACCACCTTCATGCAATTACCATATGGGAGTCTCTAGTCTAATCTGCAAAGAGCCTTCATCAAAGCAACTGTGGTATTTTTTCAGTTCTCTCTTCTTGTTGGCAGTAGGAACAGGTGGTATTAGACCGAACACAGCCCCATTCGGAGCGGACCAATTCGACCCGTCTCATCCTAAAGAGAAAAACCAACTTTGGCATTTCTTCAACTGGTATTACTTCTGCGTTGGTATATCAATTCTTGGAGCACTTACCGTAATAGTTTGGGTACAGGACAATGTGGGATGGACATGGGGCTTTGGGATTCCAGCAGGCGCAATGGCAATTGCTTTGTTGAGTTTCTTCATTGGAGCACCATTCTTTCGGTACATGCCTCCTGTTGGCAGCCCCTTCACCCGCATTGCACAGGTCATTGTGGCTTCATATCGCAAGCGAAAACTCTCATTGCCAAGCGACACTTCACTGCTTCACAGAAGGAATGACAAAGGTGAACTCATCAACTATCCAGCCGTTATCGAGCTCCATCACAGCAATCAATTCACGTAAGGGACATTACTCCTGCTGTCTCTTTTTCTGAAGGAAATTGGCATCTCAGTTTCTCGACTTTCAAATCTGAAATAATTCTGGATTTCTATGATTTCAGATTACTAGATAAGGCTGCCATCGTGGAGGAAGACAACAACATGAGCTCACATGCAAGCCGATGGCGCCTCTGCACAGTCCATCAAATTGAGGAGTTGAAGTCGCTTCTGCGCATGGCGCCAATCTGGATGACCACCATCCTCGTCTCCACAGTCATAGTGCAGCAGGGGACCTTCTCAGTGCAGCAAGCCCGCACCATGAATAGGTTTGTACATTCAAGACAGAGAATACCCACACAATTTGGATTCAAGATACTTTCATCGGCCTACTAAACAAAGACCATTAGCTCCAAGTTCTTCAGCTATGGCTTCAGTCTCGCTAAAGAATTCTGTGTTCACATGCAGGTGGATGGGATATAACTTCCAGATGCCAGCCGCCTCGTTCGGAGTGTTCGGCATCCTTATGCTCCTCACATGGGTCCCCATTTACGATCTATATGTCATGGGCTGGCTCAAAAAGGTCACTGGCAATGAGAGAGGCGTGACGCCCCTCCAGCGCATTGGCGCTGGCCTCTTCATCGCCATTCTGTCCATGGTGGCTGCAGCGGCAGTGGAAGTCAAACGTCGAAATGTAGCGCACCGACATGGTCTCCTTGACAGACCAGATCTTACAGTCCCCATCTCTGCGTTCTGGTTGGTCCCTCAGCATTGCCTCTTCGGCCTCGCAGAATCGTTTGTATTCATCGGAGAGCTGGAGTTCTTCTACGACCAGTCTCCTGAGAGCATGCGCAGCACTGGTACCGCTCTGTTCTGGAGCACCTTCGCACTTGGCAACTACGTAAGCACGGCCTTGGTGACTCTCATCGATCACAACACGAATTGGCTAGAAAACAACCTGAACCGGGCTCATCTCGACCACTTCTACTGGTTTCTAGCCGTTCTGAGTACTGTCAATCTACTGTTCTTCCTCTTGTCTGCGCACTGGTTCCGATACCGCAACGAGGGATTAGACCCTGACCTGGATATTCATCTCGAAACCTCAGCGGCGTTGAAACCCAACTAGACACACTAGACTTGATTTCTCAATAATGGTGTACACACGATGTTTTCGTTCAAAATTTCTGACACAAGGAACACATAACTACGCATATTTCGACACTCACGGACAAGTCCAATTCCGCCGCAGGTACTGGTTGCCAGGATGTTAGTTACAAAACCCTGACACAGGAAAAATTAAACTAATTTTTTAGCCGTGGAGGGAGAGGAAACCTACAATTTTTGAACACTTCCTGAAACAAAATTAGACTTCCAAGAAGAATTAGAAAAGCATTCTTTTGAGTATTTTTCAAGGTGTATGTTATCTACAAGCTATTGTGTTGTCGGAAAACTTCTTCGTTGCTCCGTCACTGGTGAGCCAAGAAAACGCACAGAAATGCAGCAGAAGGCGAAGTTGATAACAGTCGTGCCTCTGTGACTCTGATGCACAACAGTTCTGCTGAAGTGCATGTGTCTGTAAGGGTTTTCTTATTCTTCTGAACTTCATTTGTAGATGTTCCTTTGGTTATTGTATTTTTGGTTGCTTCTTTGTTAATATAGCCTTCTGTGTCTCCTAGATTAATCTGGTTTTGGTTGCTGCACAGTTAAGTTTGCATGCAGTGCAAGATATTGAGTTTTGCTGGGTTTAAAATTTCTGTAGTGGACGTGAGGAGCCTTGGGGTCTGCATTGTTCAATGATATGAATTATCCTTCATATATCATCCTTCAATTTCTTTCAAATATAATTTAGCATATTCTTGGACTATAGGTAAATTGATTTAACTAGGTTGAATGTCACAGAACATGACATAATGTGGCAATAGTCACAACAAAAGTGAAATTTATCCTTGCTTTAGTATAGTGCAATTTGTACAATGCACAGTTCTAGCATCTCTTGTACTATGTTCGAATTTTGTGCTAAACAATCTATTGCTGTGGTTGTGATATAGATATTGCAATCAAAGTTGTAGCCATTTTCCAATTCAACTTCATTTGAATCTAACAAAAACATTGAATTGCAAAATTCCACGTGTATGGAACAATATCATGCTATTATTTTATTTCATTTTATTTATTGTTTTGTTGCCACTCATAGGATATATCTAAAATATTCATGGTTGGTAGAAGCACAGTTGAAGTAAAACCAACTTTACTAGATTTATGATCCAACATCTTGATAAAACTAAACACCCTTGAATCAAGTGAAGAGATATCTTATTTCATATAAAAGTTAGAAGTATCTATATGAATTCTAAATAAGATGTAGATTAATTTTCATATGGTGCAAAATATTTTATTTTGTATGTCCAATCAATAATTTGCTAAAGTAAAGGATGCATATGGAAGAGTTTAAGGTTGGACTTTTATGCATGTAGAAGCATTCATCAAATAAAGTTGAAATCTGAATTTTAGATTTATATTTGTATTGGAATAGAGTTTGAAAAAAATAAGTGAACTAGAATTGATTATATATATATCTAAATAGAAAAGTGTATTTTTCATTTGAATTCAAATCTCTATACAGATGTGCCATTTTTTTGTAAAGAAAAAAAGATTATTATAGATGTGTAAATTATTATAGATAAAAATATTTACCAAAAAAAAATTTCTATCTTCTATTCTAATATTTAATTTTTTTTGACAAAGTTAAGATCTGAATTAAAATAGACTTATAAAAAATACACAATCTATTTCACAATAAAAAAGAAATAAAGAAAATTTTACATTTTAATTTAAGTGTAACATTTTTTTAAGATATCATATTATTTAAGTATTTTTCTACATAGCTATTTTGTTATACTAAGGGTTATAAAAATATAAGTAACTTTGAGTTAAAAGTTTTTCTTACTATTTCAAAAATTTAGTATCTTCAAATTTCAAGGATGATTATATATACCTTCAAAAAATATTATTTTTTAAATAATAGGATGTTTTGAATTTGATTTATTTTTAATTTAAAGAGCTTTTAAGAATTTATAAATAAAAAATAAAAAAATATTTTCTAAAAAATTAAAATTATTTTAAGATCACATATTAATATTTTAGATTTTTAATTAATATTATATCTAATTAAAGATCCAAATATGTATAAAATACTTATTTTTTAATATATAATAATTTAAAATTTTAATTAAAAATTTAAAGATATTTTTAATTTTAAAAAATAACACTAAAAAAATAAGATCTTGATAAGAAAAGATAAAAAAAAATCTTTGTTTAAACAATTAGTGATAAGTCTAATGCAAATAGTAGGCAATAAAAGAAAAAAATTATAATTTTCTTTATGAAATCAACTCTCTAAATTGATGTAAAAGAAGCAAATAGAATAGTTTTAATTCTTGAATATAAAACAATTTAGATTGATTAAAGAAATATGCATAAAAAGAGCAAGTGATGTCAAAATCAAAACCAAAGTCAAGCAAATCCATGCTAATTAAGAATCGGGATAGAAGTTAGAGAAGAAAAAACTATATCATGCAATTGATATCATTAAATAGTACAATAAAGTTTGTACTGCAAGTTGGAACTTATTCAACATATAATCAAAGTTCCACAAAGTGCTGCTTTTTCCTTGTTCTTATGTATTTGTGTTTATAATATCAAATTAATATTATTTTTGCAACATGATATAAGAGCTTTTAATAAACAATGGTTTTAAGTAAAAGTATCTAAATAAATAGTGGTAGTAGATGAATCTTTTTGGATAAAATTTGCCAATTGAAAAACTTTTGTAGATGAATTGTTGCTATAGAGTTTTACCGTTCTATTACTATTAAAGCCTTGTAATCTTAATGTTGCTAAAGCTTTTCCTTGTTGCTAAATCTTGTTGCTGTTTTTGATGTTGACCATTATTATTGCTAATGTTAAAGAAATGTTGTTTTTGCTTCACCAAAGCTTGGTATCACCACCCGTTATTATTATATTTTATACAACATTTTTTGATTTTTTTTCTATTGCTACTTCAAGATTTGTTGTTGTTGAATACTCTTGTTGTTTTTGAATACTTCAAGATTTGTTTTTTTCTATTGCATTAATTATTTAAGAAATGATATCATTTACATTTGACTATTATATTGATTAGTTGGATGAGATGAGCTATAACATATGGCCATTTGTTACAAAACACTCGATGTCTAAATGTAAACTCTATATGAATGAAATGAAATATTGTAATGGCTTGTAAATACAAATAAGAAATCAAAATGGTAGTCAAAGAATGTGAAAGCACAAACATTGATTGCCTATAATGCCAAGCCTTTGCGATTGAATCACATATGCAAATGCAAGCCAATGAAAGAGATTTGAGATGTTTTGATTAACATCCATAATTCCTTGATGTTTGTTATTGAGATCTTTTTGATGAAGAAACTCTCCAATCTTAGGTACATTGATGGAGAATCCATTGAGAGTTTTTTTGGTAAAATCTTTGATTTTAGAAATTAATACATTGAATCTGGTGGTGAAATAGGCAAATAAAGTAAGGCATTTCTTATGCTTATTACATTGTTAGAATGATAGAATTTTCTTATTTAATTTATTGTATTGACATAATAAGAAGAAATTACAAAAGAATTAATGTGGTATATATTCTTTGAAAAAAGATGCTAAGAACTAAGAAGATTAGTTCTTTATTTTTTATGTTAATAATACATATATAAGGAAAGTAATTCTTAAAGAAGCACCATCCTTGAAAAAAGCAAAAGTCTAAAATTGATAAGTCCAAAAGTAATTGTAGGTCTTAAAGCCAAAAGAGACATGAATAAGATAATACACAGTATCTTAGAACAAACAATGGTGGTAGAAGAAGTAGTGGTGATGCTATTGTTTTCTCAACTTAAAAAATATTATGTGAGTTATAAGTAACAATTGCAGTGTTGTATCAATCACGTCATTATATTTATATTACTATCCTAGTAAATAAATCTATTAAAAGAAATAGTAGTAAGTATCTCAATTTCAATAAAAATGCCACCATTTATTTTTAAAGCTACAAAGGTGGCATTAATATATGACAAGGTTCAGATAAGATGCACCTCATAGTTTTGAACCCTCACAAAAATACATTCTTATGGCTGTAAAGAATATATATTAGGTTCTTAAAGCATGTGATATATTCATATCAATTGCAATCTTGTTCAAAAAATATTTCAAATTTAGCTTAAATAATAATAGAATTGATTAGTTCTTGTAGAAGCAACCACTTAAGTTTTATTAATAAAATGCTATATAATTGGAATCGACTCAAAAAATATTACAAGTGGCTATAAAATGTATTTTATGCTTTAAAAAAATAAAAATAATTTTATTTGAAGAGATTATAATTTATCAATTTAAATATTGGATATTGTTTATATTAAAAAATATGAAAAATCAAAAATTGTTGAAAAAGTTATAAATTCACTTTTCTATAAGAAATAGATTTATGCTATGAAAAAAAAAGCTTGATCCTTTGAATTATCATGATACATATATTATTTTTTATTTTTTATTTTTATTTTTTTAATCAAATGGTAAGAAGGCTATTAATTAAAAATAAAATTTAATATAAAACTTGCTATTTTTAATTTAATAAATCATTTCAAAACATAGTTGATTTCAAAAAAATATATTTAAATGAAGGGTCTCAATTACCAAAAGACTTTTGCACTAGTTGTATGTCTTACAGCAATTTGTATATTTGTTGCCATTGCTACTATTTTTGATTAGAATATGTTGTAACTTAACATCATTTTAGCTTATTTGAATAGTAAACTTAAAAAAGAAGATATCTATATAAAATTCCAAAAATACTAGAAGTTCTACTTAAATATAAATATAAGGTGTTACAATTAATAAAGACCTTATAAAACTTGAAAGAATCTTAATGAAAATAAAATAATAATTTAGATAGATATTTTTTGTGTTTTAATTGAAAATATTTAAAATTAGATCTTTGTTTGTATATAGTGTATATTAAGAGATCAATTCATTAATTTTTTTAACTATGTTAATGATGTATTGATTGGTCACAAGAACTTTAGAATCTTTATGAATTGTAAGGATAAATTGCAAGAGTACTTCAAAATAAAAGACCTTGATATTAAGGACATAAATCTCAGAGAACTAAAAGATCAATACACTTTGTGTCACTAGAAATGATTGAAGAATCACTCAAAGTTGAATAATATTAAACTAGAATAGTTATTGTCAAAGATTTTAAAGTCTTGAAATAAGTTTAAAGATTAAAATAGAATTGATAAGAGTGAAGAAGGATTTATTCTTACTTCTATGTATACTAGGAGCAACATGATAATGTTCTATATGACCTCTAATATGTGTTGACTTTGCAAGACATATGTTTTAATTTATAAGGCAAGTTTCCTATATGTATGCCATATTGTTAGCTTATATCACAAGCTTTCAATACAAGCAACATGTAGCTAATTTGTTAGCCAAGTTTTCAACCTACTTATTAATTACAAATATATATAAAGTCAAATATGTGTTTATGAAGCTTCTAAGAAGCTTTTCTATAAGATAATATCAAATCTATCTATATTTACTTTCTATCTAATA